TGCCTTCAAGAAGGAGATGCCCCAAATGCCACCATTCCTAGATATAACCAACAAGGGCCAAACCTAGCGTTTTCACTCAGGAGCTCGAGACCGGGTACTTGAGAAGCACCACCAAATCAAAGTCATCATGTGTTGCCGACTCCACTTTCCACAAACTAAATTGGCACATGCATGCATGACCCTTGCCTGAGATGCAAAAGAATCATTGATGTGGGAGAAAGGTCATTGGCGCAGCCAAAATTCCTGTTTAGGATGATCCGGCAGCGCCACACCGACCTCACTAGTGGCATCCGGTAGTACATCTACATGAGATGACACCACCATGCTACTTGTGATATGATGGATTTATATTTCATGCATTTTTAGAGCTCAATTGTTGTATGTTCTCTTTATTTATTATGTCTCCTTGAACCAAATAGTTGTCCATTATGCATGTTTACCAGTATTTACACTTTTCCTTGTGGGCATTGCACATTTACTATTTTAGTTGGTTTTTATTAGTTTTCTTTGTTTTCTTGCATCTACAGGTGTTTTGGAGCAACCTAGGACCAAGCACGATGAAAGGACCAAGGACGGGATTGATACGGAGTCAGCCAGGAGTCAGACTTAGCCATTTGGAAGGTCAACAAAGTCATTTTCTCCAAAGTTATCCAAATCAATATCTATGGACAGAAATGGATCAGCGTCGTTCATACGAATCTAACGAGCCCAAGAACATCAAATTCTGAGTTCGTATGAAGAAATGGCGGCCATTTTACTGGAGGAGGACAAACTGAAAGACGATGTTCCGAACGACCACACATGGTCGTTTGAGCGGTCGTTTGGCATGGACATAGCTCTCGAAGTTGCCCTGCGAGACGGGATTCTTCACCGATTTCATCCATGTTCGATCCCACGGGATCCTTGGCTCGTAAAGAAGAGATTGGGGGAGGATTGCGCTCAAGAAGAGCCCTTGGATGAAGCTCGTCAAGAGAGGAGGCTAGGGAGGCTCTCTATATGTCATCTTTAACCCTAGCCGCCGCCAATAATCATTCATCATCCATCTCATTCATCCACCACCATCTCCATTGCTACTCCACCACCAAGAGGAGGAAGGGACAACCACCAAGGGAAGAGGAGGAGGCTCCACCACCATGAGCACCAGCCTCTGTGTTGGTGCCCTCGCGCAGGCGCCGCCATCACCGGTGGCACCCCCCATCTCCATCACCACCGGCGCGGCCACCATTTCGTCACTATCACCACCACTAACGACTACACCACCACCGCCACTAGTGAATAAATCCTCCTTTCCTCCTTTTTATACGTACACAAAATGCCCTCTATGTTTTCTGTGTTTTTTCTTTATTTTTTTGTTTCATGTTTTCTTTTTTTTCTTAAATGTGTGAAATTTTTACAAATAGACGTTATTTTTCCTAATTCATGAACCTTTTCTTCAAGTTAATGAATTTTTTTTCAACTCTATGAACTTTTTTTTCAATTTCAATGAACTTTTTTCAAGTTCGATGAACTTTTTTTCAATTTCAATGGGCTTTTTTCAAGTTCGATGAACTTTTTTTTAATTTCAATGAACTTTTTAACGTTTTGATGAACTTTTTTAAAAATCAATGAACTTTTTTCAATTCAACCAACTTTTTTTCAAATCCAATGAAGTATTTTCAATTTGATTAACTTTTTTTCATCCGATGAACTTTTTTTCAAATCCGATGAAATTTTTCAAAATTGATGAACTTTTTTAGATTTGTGAACTTTTCTTTCAAAATCAATGAACTTTTTCAATAATATATGATTTTTTTGAGAAACATATTCACAATTGTAAAAAAACTGGAGGCCGGTCTTTTTCCTGAACCAACAGCACAACACAACCCCAAAAAAACCTGCGAGCCGAGTGTGATTTTCTTCAGCGAGCGAGCGAACAAAAGGGAGCGAGTGAGCGATCTTCTTAACGGGCCACAGGCCATGGCTGGTCGCTGTAGGCGGCACTTCTCCAACGGGCGCCTACAACATCCAATAGAAGCTCCCATCATCTATAACGCACACTCTCTGTCTAATAATCCAGCGAGGGAGCCTGGGCGCCTACATCGACCAATAGGAGCTCCCATCATCCGTGACGCACACTCTCTGTCTAATAAGTCAGGGAGGGAGCTTGCTAGGAGAAACCCCCGAGGGGTACGAGATAGCCGATCAGGCCTTTTACTGTGCCTTTCCCTCCCTCATCCCATAAGCCAAAACATGTCCCATAATATAAGAGCGTTTTTTACACTAATGTAATATTAAAATGCTTTTATATTTTAGGACCGAAGGAGTAATTTAAAAAAATGATGTGCACATAGTTTACGAACCTTTTTTGTGCACATGGTTTTAGTTCGTGTGGACACAAGATTCTTTTACAAAATATCATAGATTAGTCATAGAAAAAATAAAAACATAAATTAGTTACAATATATATAAATTTAAAAACTTATGCAAAGAAAAAAAAGTGTTGTGATGTTTGTACCTAAAATGCCACACAAAGAAGGAATTACTGTGATATGCTAAAAACAATTGTCCACGAAATGGACGCATGAAACCATCGGGAATGGGCCTTCTTCGAAAATGGCGCTAACAGCAAAGGTGCAGGCACCAAGTAGACTAATCGGCGCTGAAGGCGCCTCCCGCGTCAAAGGAGCTGGGGCTTCGCACAGGGGCGCTGCAACTGGGCCGGCCCATTAGATGTTTAACTATGAAAAAGTAATCTGGAGATACTGTAGCGTTGAGTACTGTAGCAAATACAATACTGTAGCACCCTGTTCACCGTAGCGCCCCGGTTTATTGGTCTACTTTTTTTTCGAACATTTTATGAAACAAAGAATACATACGCCGAACAAAAATTCAAGCACACATTCAACATTTTTTAATATACATTGACCAATTTTTAAAAACAGTGAACTTTTTTGTAACAAAACGCTAAACAAATTTCAAATACACAATGAACATTTTCTACTATACGTTGAACAATTCTTAATATGTATAATGAACAAATTATAAATACAAAATGGAAATTTTCTAATGTATGTTGAACAATTTCGTAATATATGATGAATATTTCTGTACTACACGATGAAACATTTTATATGCATGGTGAATTTTTCATAATATATGATGAATTTTTTTATAAATACACGGTGAAATTTTTATACTACAAAAAGGATAATAGAGAGAAGAAACAGAAAAAAGGAAAGAAAGAAAAAAGAAGGAAAAGGAAAAATAAATCTAAAAAGAATAAAACCCAATTCAAAAAAAGAGAGAAAAGGGTTCATGGAACCTTCTAGAAGGTTCCCTAAGTCTTTTTACAAATGGGCGCACACCCCCTTTTCGCGCTGGTCCAGCCCATCAATGTTTTGTTTCTGTTTTCAAAAACGCAAAAGAGGTACGGCAAACGTGAATGGAACTGGCGACCTCACGCGTCAAGGTACACTGCAGTGACCACCCCGCCACACAACCTCATAAGTTTGCATACATCTTTCTTGTTCTTTTCTTCCTTCTATTTTTTTTTCCTTGTTCGACGAACTATTTCTACAAAATCTATGAACTTTTCCTCAAAATTGATGATTATTTGGTAGAGCGAGCGAACTTAGCGAAGAGGGTGAGGGAGTGATGTTTAAATGGGCCGCCCCGCGAAGGTGGCGCTGTGGGCGCTGGTTTCTCCAAGTGGCACTTAAGGCGCTAATTAGGAGCTCCCTATAGAAACCACCCAGATACTAGCGTCCAAAAATTAAGTGCCTATATGCGATCACATTAGATCGCCAGGTGAACTGGCTACCTCGCGTCGACACCTCCGTGAGG